TATATATATATATATATATATATATATATATATATATATATATATATATATATATATATATATATATATATATATATATATATATATATATATATTGCATTGATTTTTGCAGAAAAAGAAAAAACTTGCATGCTTAAATGAACAAACGAATTGTAAGATGAAGTGTAAGCGATCGTTTGATTAATAAATTTTATTCAAAGTTACCAGATATCCTGCAATGGACATGCGTGGAAAATGCATGCATATACTATATGTGGAATCTTTAATTAGTTTGTTTGGTGTATCAGAGCTTAATATCAACCTGGAAATGTATGCAAATTTAGCTTGAAGAGAAAAAAGGAGCAATAATTTCGGAGTACATTAAGAAGAATCGGTGGTATTAAATATCCGGAAACATCGATCTCATCTCCTTCTCTTTCTTCATGAAAATTGTCATGTCGTACTATCGTCACACACAAATATTCATGTTTTACATTAATTCTAGTTTGACATTAACCCGTCAAGTATTACTCGCATGCTTTATTCAATCTGTTTGAAGTCTTGATCCATCACGTGCATATTCAGAGATTATTCCTTACTGATCAATAATAGCAGCAAAGAAAATGAACGACACACTTCCATCAAATAAATAACTTTGATAATGGATAAGAAGGATTGGAGTTTGAGGTTTTAATGAAACAAATGGAAACATTTTGTCAAGAAGCAATATCAATCGTTCGCACTATTCATTACATATCAAGTTGTATTGCATGCCTGTCATCTGTTCGAGAAACTTTGCGAAAGCAAATACATGTATTGGCTTCGCTCTCTTCATCAGTAAATAACTCCACCTGAATTTTTTGTCCTTCTAAATTTCCATTTTATAAAATAACTCTGTTCTTGTAATACGGTCAGACTTGTAGAGTGACTCTGAAACCAGAAATTCTCAATTTAAAAAATGCTAAGAAATTTGTAAAAAGTTGCCAAATTTTCTGCACATTTATGATTTCATTATCTTTACTTCTGACAATTCATAAATAGAATTGTTTTTTCTTCCATTTCAGTTCATCACAAATGAATCGCTCTTGTGATTTTTGATCTTTAATGGATAAATAATTTCTAGAAAGCACAAGAATGCCGCTGAATGATCACGGAATGGGGGAATTTTAATTTTAAATAAATTCATTAAATGAAATGTTTGAAGCATTCCTGGGCGGAAATATGGAAAAGAGCACTTTGATGTAATGGGTTTAATTCAAAGTTTTTATTTATGAATTAACGCTTTATTAACGCTTCAAAACAGTATTTTTTGGCAGCTAATATTATCCAAATTCTTTCAGAATTTCATCGTTAGAATCCATTGGACAAATAAAAGAATCGATTCATCATATCTTCTGGTAACTTTCTTGGTGCTAATTTATTGGTTTTTTGTCTTATACCAGATTGAACTTCCCTTCCTCAATTCAGTGTAAATCGAAATTGATGGTATGCATGCGATAATTATGCACCATTTTGAATCTATTCTTTACAATAGTATAGAGAATGGATGAGTGGTACTAGGAGTGCTTGTTTCTGAGTTTGCGCCGTGTTGATAAGAGGAGAATAAGCACTCCATCGATAAGATAAATGAAGGAATGAAGGAATGAAAGAAAAAATGAATAAATGAATGAATGAATGAATGAATGAATGAATGAATGAATGAATGAATGAATGAATGAATTGAATGAATGGATGGATTGATGGATGAGATGGATGGACAGATGGATGGATGGATGGATAGATGGATGAATGGATGGGATGGATAGATGGATGGGCGCTATTCGATTGCGCACTGCTAACTCCTACAATTCAGTTATCTTTGAAAAAGTGTTGTTGAAGGAATTTATTCTTGGAAGATATCACCTCCTTTCTCCTATCGCATTTCATATAGCAATTCCTTTGTGAAATGAGGAAGGAAAAGGCTTCACCAATTTTTGTTTACACATGTATGTATATGTGTGTGTGTGTGTGTATGTGTGTGTGTATGTGTGTGTGTGTGTGTGTGTGGCCTTCAAAGGCCCGTTCTTCTTCTTTGTTTCTTCAGTCTATCTTTCATCATGAATATGGTAACTGTGAAGGTTCACTTCCGTATCCTTCACTTCATCTCCTCCTTTCCTTTTATTTATTACCTCATCTTTGTTGCTGCCTTGATTGTTTTCCTTTAATGTTCAATTCTGATATTTGTATGCCTCTCTATGTCTGTTCTCTATTTATGTATGCAAGATTTTTTTGAAATGTTTGTTCCAAATGAATGTTGAAGGCCCCACACGACGTTCAGCGGGTATCGCACAGTTTGGCATTGATGACGACAGTAATCGCATTATACCTACCTTCAGCGCAAGCATCTCACATGAACGCAATGAATAACCTCTCAGGTATAATTAATCATATATGTATATAATATAACATATCATTCATTATTAAAAGGATGATAGGGGAGGAGGAATTCACAAATGCTTAATTGTCACTTTGCGCCTCTTTTCATTCTGCATAATAAATCAGCAATTTCACTTAATCTGTTCGATGCAGTAGTTCAGAGCGCTTCCTGGAACTCGTCTCCTTCGGGCGTGTATGTCATCCTCTTTGAGTTCTCATCGCCTTTCCTTTCTTGACCCATCAACGCAACAAATATTTGTAGCACATTTGGAAAATAAATACATTTTTCAGAAGTTCCATTATCAATCCCTTTGCCACATTTCTGTTCCTTACAGCAACTGGATGAATATCCATTAAATATAAATGTGTTCCTGAACTACACAGTGAGGTTGAATTTCATTTCAAATTTTGAAGTCCCGAGCTAACATTGCCATTTCATCTCGAGCAACAACTTTTTTACACATCTAAAAACACTGCGACAATTGACAGTTGAGATCTAAGGTCAATTTTGCTAATCATAACAGACATTGATATATTTTAATTTCTAAAAATTCTTTAGAAAAAATACACACATCTACAAATTAATGCAATTGATTTCCAATAGGGAATAGGCTCGAATTGGAGTATTACAGTGCGTTCTTTTTTTTTCCTGCTAAAATATTTCCAAGAACTGATTTGTGATTATAAAGTGACTCGCAGCATGAAGAAGACATGCATTCCATCGCTTTCTTCAATTCCATTCTTTCACGTTTCTAATGAAATTCGATAAAAAGGCTTTTTCATATCACAGCATGATTGAAAACCTCCGAACAGCCTGTAAGATCAACTTTTCCATACAATACTTTTCAGGCGTCTTACATTCTTCAAACTTCTCAAATATAAAATACCTAAATTTTGCATTCCCATTAGCCATTTGTACTAGTAATATCTAATACAAACTGCTTCCGCATAATTTCTCTTTTAATAAGTTGGAGAAAAGGCATGGCGTAAATAAGGACAGAACTATATAATGACAGTATAATCTCCTGTAAAATGGAGATATTCAAGGTAAGGCTTAGCCATAAGGAACAACAGAGCTATGTACTCAAGGAAGATTGAAATGTATTGGGCCTGTAATGTCCGAATTTTGATACCAAACAATTGGAAATGATTTGAATCATTAAAAGTCTATCATTTTTAAAAACCACAGTTTCTTGAAAATTTAAAAAAAATCTTATTTACGCTCTCATCTGTCATTAATTATTTCATCTCCGAAGTTTTCTTTTATTCTACTTTCAGCGATGGGATGATAATCATCATTGATAAGTTGATGTGACTTTTGAGTTGAAAGTTATGCACCCCTTGAAAATGAACCAGAAAGTCTTCATTATACAGCAGTTATCCCTTAAATTATTGAAAAATTATGCAAAAATTTACACTTTCATCCCTTTGTTCTGATAACAAAAGACGCAATTCTCTAAGCAAATATGGGAAAATTAAGAATGCAAAAATTTTACATTCCCAAAAAAAAGTCTGGAAAAGTGTTTGGTGAAAGAGCGATGCAAAGAACGACGAGTGGAAAAAATGAAAAGAAAGGAAAGTATCGGATAATAGACCACACACGAACAAACCCTGTACCTCATTCCTTTCCATTTTCTTCCTTCTCGTTGATACTATCTCGTCGGGAATTTCTGGCACCAGAGGGGGCAACGGCCACAGTAAGAGAACGAAAGGGTGGTCCAGAATAATTAGTATTAAAATTATGAGTATAATTTCAAGAATATATTACTTCTCTCTTCCTAGTCAATGTTGAATTTGACTATCTAAAAAAAATGAAACTGAAAATAACTGATAGATAAAAGAGAAGAAATGGAAAAGATTTAATGCTAGCAACATTACCTGACATTTAACTCCTCCCTTGAATATTCCACCTTACTCTATGCTGCTACACTATAGTATACGATTAAAACAACTGCAACACTGATTACCGGAAAATATCGCCAAACACCAAAAATGAGAATTTTTTTTTCACAAGTTTATATGAAATAATTTTGAAAATTATAATGCAATAGCATAAGTGGTTGGTTGGTAAGTGAGAAGAAATTAGTGTGTCACTCGCATATCTTCTTTCCCAGCAAAACCCATGTGTTCAAGATACATCAGGAAAAAAATAGCAACTCACTCAACATGCATTTAACAACATTAATGTCACTTGTCAAAAAAGTCTATAGGAAAACAATCGTCTAATTGAGATATTTCTTTGAAAAACATCTATAGCGTTGTCTCATTCAGGCATATGGTTATAAGTTAATTATCACCAGAGCCAATTATGCAACACACTTGAAAGAAAAAAACTCACGTGTGCTGTTAATTGTACCTAAGCAAGCGTGTAAACACACATAACAGCAGACAGAAACAATTTAGGTTATGCAAATGAAAGCACGAATTCAACTTTAGATTTTGGGCGAAAGCATGCGGACAGATCGCTTTATCTGCACACGATCTTTTTTTGAGAAAAGTATCACAAATGTATTTCTCAATAAAGACTGTTGGAAAGTAGGGACAAGAAAGGTAAATGGATATATGATCATCCTACATACATACATACCTTCCTTAAAGTAATGACGACAATAACACTCTACCAATCTTTTTTGTTTTGTCCTTTGTTATTTGTCAAAAAATGAATTATGCTCACAAATTAGCAATGTATCGATGAAATGTTGCGATAATTGCATGTGTCTTTCAGGAAATGTTGCAAATTTTGCACTTTTTGTTTTTATCTTGTCATTTCCTAGCAGTGTGGCAATCAGAACCTCAGCAATACCACCCGTTGTTGATTCTTTTTTTTTTTTTTCATTTGTGATAATGTGGGAAATATTTTTACTTGACTTCAATTCCATCTGAATTATTCTTAATTTTAGACGCTAATTGTTTTAGCTTTTACAAGTTTAATGCTAACTGACTGCTCAAGATGTAATTAATCTTTCTGGACAAAAATGAAATAATTTTAACAAAAAAATATACCATTGCGGAAGTTTCATGGTCAGCTTTCGTTACAGAATAACTGTGTTACTGTTTGGACCATTCGCAAGAAATGATATGGGATGACACAATCGCATATTCAAGCAAAGTGTGCTTTTATCATATCACTTTTAAACGAACCTAATTTTAACAGTGAATACCACTGGAATTCTTTAGCTTTGCTGCTCTTCGTATCTTGATTAGTTAATTGTAGAGACTATGTAATTATTCAATACCAAATATCAAATCCTATACTCAGATATCTCTACTTCTTTTAAAAGTTCATATAAGGCTTCCAATACCATTCTAAAAAAGCTCTATTTTACCTCTTATTAATAGTTCAAGTTTTTTCCTGTGAACCGAACATACTTTTAAGCATTTTAAACATCCATTGTGTACCTTTGCAATAACAGCATTTCTACGTATCAACCTACAGTGCTGACATTTTATACCATTTGCATTCACGCATCGCAATTATTTCACGTAACTAATCATTGACGTACACGGCTATTCAGATTCTTTGATAATGCAGATGAATGGATTCTGAATATATTGTAGTCATGTAATCAGAATGACATAGAATCCATTCCACAACTGTAAAACCATTTCGGAATTATCATCTGCTAATTACTCTTTCATATATGCAAACACCATAAGCCTTGTCAGTTTCTCTGAAATTTTAGAAATATTTGCTCATCATATTCACAACATATGGTGTGTTGTTTTCGAAGTTTTAATTGAGCTTATGCTTTCATTAGTGTAGCTAAGAAGTGACCAGCATGAGTGACCCATTTACAGATGTATGATGGATGAATCAGTATTCCCACAAGCTACGATAAAAGGAAGCATGCAAATTCATCGAATATTTCAATATCTTTTTCCAGTGCTAATTAAATCTATGCTTCGCATAAATAGAAAAAACTGGATACTTTTCAGCGCGGAAGATCGGTTATAAGTTGCTGGCAGCCAAGATCGTTTAGATTGTAACTGTTGCTGAAATACGTTGATTTCGAAAGTATTCTACGCCAAAATATTTGTTTTTCCCATCTCTATCCGTCTTCCCAACCACTTTTGTACCTTAGAAATCGGCGGTATTGTTACTTCCTTTTGATGAATGAATCCGACGATGTGCAACGCAATCTGCTTAGCAAATTTCGATTCCTTTCAGGATTGTGGATATACACTACAATATCATTTGGCGAAGTGTCCTGTTTTCTGAACGAACAAAGCGATCATTAATAAAGAAGCCGTTATTAAAGTGCTTTACAGTAACTCAGCCAAGCTTCAATTAGTTCCTAACGGTGAAAACCGCACTGAACCGAGGAAAACATATGGCCTTCGACCAGAGATGACAGGATTATTGACAATGCGGTTGAGCAGTATAAACGCTTTTTACTATTAATATGAAATTCCGATGATTTTTTTACTTTTTAAGTTTTTATTTCTTGGTAACCTTTCATATTTTTTGATTTTCTTTTAAAGTTATAAGACAGCAGATCCTATTTATCATATCTATTTATTTTTTAACTTAACAGTAAAGCTGTTAATGATTCAATTTCTTTCAAAAGTAAATTTTTTAAATCAATACCGAATTAACTAATCCTGAAAATGGATAGTGCTTGAGTGAGAACACATTCAATGTCTACAATTCATACAAGTAAGCGAGAGGTTACACACATTAAAAGTTTGAAAACAGGTTGAAGATGTTTCGTCTCACAATTCCTCTAATACCAAATATAACTGTTCCAATACACACTTCTGCATTTGCTAAGTGAACTTTTGCAAGTACAGTGGGAATTAAAGCTCGGCTAGCAAATTTAAATTTTTGTTTGCTTAGCAATTTTAATAAGTCTTAGTGGAATTAAAAGCTATGCTCGTTACAAACGTCCGGTTTTTCAAACTTTTATCATTTGGCTTTGTTTGTTTCGAGAATGACAATTTTCAAACAGTGGTAGAAAACTTTATTATTAATTGCAAAAATGAGGAAAATAAAAATTTAAAGAATTTCCTAAGCACATCAGGTCATTACATAAAAAGGACTTGGAAAAGAAATTTCCTTTGATTGAATTCTGATTTAACAAATTATGAACAAAACATACAAATCATTCAATCGATGATTTTTCATATCAGAATTGAAGTAACGCAATAAATTGTTTACTTTGTTGTTATTTGCTTCAAAGATAACTTCATTAATCACCCGTTAATCTAATAGATACATTGGAGCAGTCCCAATAAATTAAAAAATAGAACAGCGAATTAATTGGCACCAATATATATTCGCTTACTGAGAACAACGCATATGCTGCAATGCAGTAGTACAAATGAGTGAAGTTTATTACTGTTCAACTGTTGATCTGATTTGACCTCTAACAGTAAAGTATTCTGTGTATTTCATTTTCGAATATAAAAAAATATCTTTTTCACTATTCTTTACAATATGCTGAACAAAAGATGATGAAATATTTGCTGGAATTTCAATTAAAAAAGCCTAATTCGGTGATTATTAGTAGTCAAACAAAAACTTGCAAAATAAATGAGCTGAAAGGATATTAAATTATTAGTGAAGTTGAATTAAATTATATTCGTTTGAATAGATGAGTTAATCAGTAGTAACTAGGTATCGAATTAGATATTTAAGTAAAATTCACATTTAATTAAGAGATTTAGAAACTTTTCCCTAACCTCAGTTATAAGGATTTTCGAAGGATAAAAATTTATGCTTGAAAACTAAGGAAACTGAGAGAAATAAGCAAGTAATTAAATTCCAAATTATTGATTAAATGAAATAAAATAAAACAAACTGAATTGATGGCATTTAGCAACTGCATAGAGATAAGTATAACACATTAGAAGGGATAATGCGATTGTAATACCACATAGTACCAATTTTAAGTGAAATAACCAAATGGGCTGCAATTCAATTGAATAGACACTGGGGAATTAAAACTTACATTTGAACCCCATTTAATCAGATTCAAGTAAACTTATGAAGAGGGTTCCAGTCCATGCTTCTTCCTGTTGCAATACATGATTTCCCGAGAATCAAGTACATTTAACTTATTACTTCATGCTTTCGCATCAATAGCATTATTAGGTAATTTACTTATTCAATAAAATTACCAGAAATATAACCTACATCTTCCGGTTTTTTGCTCTCGCCGGAAAAGTAGTAAAGCAGAATTGAAACAAGCATATTGAAACAGAGAGCTATGAGCCATACACCAAATGCCGTTGCATGGATATCTGTATGATAGCTTTTTTTTTAAAGAAAAGAGAAAAAATGAATTATCACTCGGAAATCACTTGCATTCCTTTCAATTAATTTACTAGCTTGTTCTATTTGTGGTTTTTTAACTGCATATTAGAGATTGTAATATTTTATACAAATCTACTTCATTTTAGTTCATCTTCAATCTTACAAACTCCTGAAATAAATAATCTTTTAGGAAAGTGACATTTCAAATACTGCTTTGCCTAAATTAAATGTGTACCACTTTAAGTGGTACACATTTAATTTAGGCAAAGCAGTATTTGAACTTTAAGTGTTAGGTAATCCTAGCTAAAGTTTTCAAGTAAATATGCATAAACATGCCTGAAAAGAATTTTCATCATTTCAAAAATTTTCTTAATCAGACAGTTTGTATGACAGTCACTTACTGTTTACCCGTAATAGCCATTTTCTCCTTCCGTATAGTTTTTGTCTTCCCATTATATATTAATTACTTTCTGTTAAAAGAAAAAAAAAACGCTTTAAAACTTACAAAAGCAAGAAACAACATCGAATATCGTTATGATTACAAGCGCAAGTGGCTCCAAAAACAATGTAAGCATAAGAAATTGGTTCAGGATTCTATACCACCAGAAATTTGCATATTTTGATTTGCTTCTTTTATAGAGATAATTGTAAAACTATAATTACGCTACTTTTATCTAACTTCCAACTTTAATACTGGAAATATTTTTTAAGAACTTTTTAAAGACCTCTTCGATTATTCTTCTTTTCTTTTTCCTTAATTATGTCTGAGAAGAGAAAAAAAAAAAATGCATTACTTGGCAGGAATGTGCGTCCATCAAGAAAAAAATAGTAACATTTTAACTTACAAAAGGATATATTATTCTAGCAGGAAAATTAATGAACAATACACAAAGCCATGCTGTTCGAGTAGGTTCCCAGAGACCAATGATATAACTTATCGGTGGCAACACACTGTAACAATTAAATTGAAAAAAGAAAAAAAACTTCAAATATTTTTTAAAGAAATACAAAATATTTGAAGAAATCCGTTGAAATAATAATGATGCAAAATTAATGTAACATATTGCATTACAAAAATAATGATTGGAAAAATTAGACGAGAAATTCGTAGTACTTGCGAGTGTCGGGACAAAGGGGAACGATGAACTTCTCGATTCGATAAGACTCGATAGCATAAATATATACAATACACATACAACATCCAATACCGGGAAGTAAAGCTCCAACAATGGCAAGAAACGTTCGATTTAGTATCAGAAGTTCCATTGGTGACACATCACCACTTTTCGACATCTCTTCATTTCAGAAATAATTTTCAAAGTTATTATACAATGTTGATCAATGTGTGATGATATTGTGCATATCAATCAAATGGCTAATTGGCGAGGAATTCGTTTTAATGAAGTGATAATTCTCCAAAAAAATTTCCTGTCTATATGAATAAAATGCAAAATGGACAGGAAATCATATGGGTAATAATTATAGGAATATCATTATGCAAATACCGATTACAGGAATACACTTCTAGCTTTCTAACTTGCTATCTACCTTTCGGGTGAGAAAAATTATCTTTGTAAAGGTAATAACAAGAAAAGTAATGGGTAATAATGTCTTTTATATTTCTTAAAACATTACCGCATCAACTATCGTCGTGATTTTATCAAAAAAAACCAGTCGTATTAATGCACAGATTACGAAACAATGTATCGCCGAGCTTCATTTGTCCATTGGCGGAAAAGGAAAGAAACCGGTTTTAACCTTCATTTCTGATAAATTATTTGTTTATTTCTGCCATATTATCCTTGAATTATTCCATAAACAACACCTGAAATTTGATAATCTGTCATTTTTGCAGTTTTGAAAGCTTATATAACATGCTAACAATATGTTCCATACGTAAGCTTTATGTCATGCTATTTGACTTTTGAAAATAGAAGAGAATTTAAGCAACGCCACCTTTTTATTCTTTCTTTGACTTAGGCTCCCTCTCTTCAATATTTACTTATCTGCAAAATTTGACCTAAGCAGTGGGGTTATAATTAGGATAAACAATTCAATTAGAAGTATTGAATCAATTCTCGATGAACAACTGTTTGTCATACATGTTATTTTATAAATAAAGGGATGAAAAATGCAGAATTTTACTTAATGTACGCATCTCTGGCATACTTCAAAAAACGTCTCAAAATGATTCCCACTTACACGCATCATACAGAATACTTAAATGTGAAATGTTTCGCCAGAAAATTACAAATTAATAATTAGAATGCCTGTAAATCTTATTTTACCGCTTTTCAAAACGACAGTTTGCTGTCTGCTGCATTTCAAAATTTCTGATCACAAACAAGTACCACTTACTCTCTTGCAATTGCATTTGGTATCAGGACAAAATGCCTCTGAATAATATTTTGTTTTTTCCCAAAGATAATAGGGTATCTAAATTAAAATTTTTAATGATTTTCCAATTTGATGAATCTTTTATTCAAACTTTACAATAAACAATATTGCACTAAGATCTCTCAGTAAAAGTGAAAAGAGTGCTTTGATCGATCTTGTCAATATATAAAGTTAAACCTATTACAGGCAATGGTATGGAAAGCTGCGATACGCTGAGGATGAAATGATCGGAGTAATTATATCAAGTTCAATATTTACCTTCGTAATCTTTTTTTACATATTTTGGTCAAAAAACGTTGTGGATTACAGTGTATAAGTATATTTAATGTAAAGTTTGAATAAAAAATTCATCAAACTGGAAAATCATCTAAAATTTCAATTTAGTTGTCCTATTTTCTTTGGAAAAAACAAAATATCTTGTATTATTCAGAGGTATTTTTCTTAATACCAGATGCGATTGAAAGAGAAGTGGTACTTGTGATCAGAATTTCTGAAATGCAGCAGATAACATTTCACTTTTAAGTGTTTTGTACGATGCATGAAAATTTTAGTGGAAATAATTTTGCGACATTTTTTGAAGTATGTCAAAGGTACGAGACTAAGTACAATTTCGCATTTTCATCTCTTTATTTATGAAATAGCATGTATGACAAACAGTTGCTCATCGAGAATTGATTCAATACTTGTAATTAAATTGTTTAACTTAACTATAACCTCATTGTTTAGATCAAATTTTGCAGATAAGTGAATACTGAGAAAATGGAACCTAAGTCAAAGAATTACTATTGCTATTTTAAACGTATTCTGTGATAATCGATCCTAGAAAAAGTATGAATTTTATGTTAAATTTTACCTTATTGTTACCTAAGTCTTTCAGGATTGTTAATATCGAATATCCAATGCATTAGATGAGGTTGGAACAAAAAGTTGAAACTTTTTACTTTTCAAAGTGGATTTGTTTTTCGTCAAACTTCTTCAAATGATGAATTAATTATCCAAGATTTAAAATATATTCATAACATTGAAGCTAGAATTCAATTATTTTTACTTTTTCAACCAGAAGTTTATCGAGTTAAGGGAATAAAGCTAAATTACATCGAAATACATTAGGTTGAGTTAAATGAAACATATCGTTTTGCATAAAATTGAATATTCGAAAACTGAGACCTGAGAATGACTCTCCCAGACCATTGGTGGGACGTAAATTAAAAATCCTCAATATTGACAGAGACTATTAAACTTTCATACCCGAGCAATCTGTTGACTTGAAAAAGATGTAGTATTGTTGGTAACTACAGCTGTTCGGTGAAATAAACTTTCTCCTCAACTTTTAACACAATCTTCTTAAGTGTATCACATGACTTTAAAGTGGCAGCAGTTGTTTTTGTGTTATTTCATCACATCTGTAACATTTGTAAGGTTATATCGAGTATAGAGAAAACTTATTTGCAGCTCTTTCAATACTCATTTTTAGTTCAAAATTTCAATTTTCTAATGGTACATCAGTTAATATAACTATTTTGTAGGCTCAAAACATTAAACAGTTGTTTCTTTTAATTTTGATTGTAACTGCCAAATGTAATCACTAATGTTATCATCCCTAATTATCTATCTCTTTATCATCTATTCATTGCAAATGATAAGAACTAGATAGTGTTGAAGCATAAAAGAAATGTGCTATTTTAGAAGCTTTAAAGATGTTAGGAGGATATCACGGAATATCAATCATCAAATTCATCAGAACCCTAAATTAGAAGTGAAATAGTTGGTATGGTTTAGAAGTTACGTTAACTTGATATTACAATATAAAGTGTATTTTCAGTGCCCATGCACGGCTGTGTATCTGGTTGTGATCAGTTAAGATTACTTAACTGACCATTAATAATTTTAGTCTTAAGAAATGCTGGGTGTATTCTGCACTCATCTTTATAGTACTCTTTTGGTACTTCAGTTATCTTTTATTCTGCTACACGTTTTAGCATGAAAAATTAAAAAACGAAAAAAAAAGAAAAAAAGAAAGACAAAGAACGAATAGCTTCCTTTGTTTGTAAATGTTTCGAATTTCAGTTTATCAATTTTGGCTTTTTTTTCGAGGAACTTTTGTTGCAATATATACACAAAGTGAAGGATGTTTTTGTAGGATATTTCCTAACAACTCACTACCACTAATCATCAAACAGCCACCCTTTGAACATGCTCCATTCATTTCCTATTTACCTTCAATTTTTACGAGAATTTCACTTGAATAAATTACTCCAATAGTTTGGCTCAAGTTTTAAAATCATAAGCTTTGCATCATTCTTCGATAAAGCACCTTCTAAATCATCCTAGCGCAGTTGACAACAGATAGACTAAGTCTGGCGTTTACAGACATTAAATAACTCTGATATAATTCATTTATTTCAGTGAAAAATCATGAGTCTTGCACCATTCTTCGATAAAGCACCTTCAATAATCAATAAACCTGATGGTAGTGTATTATTCGAATGCATGTGTAATGCGAATCCCGAGCCAATGATACAATGGTTTTTCAAGGTAACCATTGCGGACCATGCATTGTTCGCTTCTTTAACGATAAGAAAAGGAAAGCTCATTTCGGGTAGAAATTTCCAGTGACACTTAGAACTTCAGCTTCTCATTATTCCAGTGACACTTAGAACTTCAGCTTCTCATTATAGGATAAAGAATTAAGCGGTGATCGATATACAATGAAGACAAAAAAAATGGTTGGCAAATGGACATGCACGATGACTATAAAGGTTATTTATATATGAAGTGACTCTCAAAAAACTGTTACTCAAAAAGCTTTGGAACTTGCGAAACATCTTATATAGATTTAACTTATCAGTACCTTATGATGAAGATACTGCGCATTCAAAATCATGTTGATAAATGGCAACCAGCTATCACTTGACCTAAAAAAGGAATTTGCACATTTCAAGTCAAATCTTAAAAGTATGTCAAAACTCTAAAATTGTTTGACAAGCTACTATGTTTGAATAATTCCGAAAGTTCTGCACCAAACTCTCAGGCGGACTTGTAATTAAAGGTAAGAACTGCGATAAATTCAGTTCATTGCTTCTTAAGCTTTATTTTAGAATCCAACACTGCAAGATCAAGGAATATATAAAGTTGTGGCGACGAATAAGAATGGTACTCATTCAGTGGAACAGCATTATGTACTATCATGCACTGCTAATGAAGTTTTCAAAACACAATAATTAACCGATATTTTGTTTATTGATTCCTTGTAATGTCAATTTAAATAAAATCATCGAATAATTCAAAGCAAAGCAAGCAGACGCAAGAGAAATAAATTTAAAATTTAAAAGGAATTTAAGCAGATAGAAGAAGCAAAATATCTCAATTTTTTCGTTTTCTTTAAAAAAAAGAAAATAAGTAGAGAGCGGATCGAGAATGGTAAGTAACAGTTTTGAAAATGTACAAAAAAGAGAAGTTCCTTTAGATTGAATTGATCTTAACATATATAAATTCAAATACACATCAGAAATTCTATACAGCACCAAAAGATTATTCTCTCAATACAAACAATCATTAATCTTACTCAAGTATATAGCACCAATTACCAATGGTTAATTATCCTAAACTCCAAGCTATATCGTACTGTCACTAGTTGTGGCAGTGACCGGTTATAATTTCTTCAATATTTTCAAGAATTTAATTGATTCAAATAAACGAATATTCATGTTCAAAAAATGTTAGCTCATCAGTGATAACAATAATTGATTATAGATTAAACTTACCAAAAATAATAGCTATAATAAAGGAAACACTCCTCTTCCAACGCAAATAACACGTCATAGGTCACATAATGACACGTCAGTTAGCTTGAGGAGTGCATGTATTCTTTACATGAACATCACATTTTACATTCACTTCTTTCAAAAGCATAATCCCGCATATCTGTCACAGACCAAGAAAAATTTATATGACCAATTAAAATATTTGTTGTTTAGAACATATCCAAGATAAGGGACTCATTACTTTACTTGAAAAATCAAACAAATCTTTTCCATATCAAAGGTGATAAGTCAGTTTATCTAATTTTGATGCAAATTCTTCTTACCTGAGGATTAAATCTTGTATGTAAAGATCTTGTATGCAACTTTGAAATATTGTAAAGATCTTACATGCAACTGCTGCATATATGTATGCACCCATTATATAAACTCTAGAAACTAGGGACTTAAGTATCTTTCACTTACCGATCGACAATATCTTCGTCCTACTATCGGACCTTCTAATCCTTATTACTACCATTCTCTTCAATCATCTGAATTGTATTACAGTCTGGTT